ACGGGTAGGGGCTTTAGTATAGTGGGGCCTAGTGGTGTAAATTAGTTGAGTCGAGTCGAGTATTTTCCTTATCAATCTTGGCTCATTAAATCCTTAATGAGCTTGAGCTCGAGCTCGAGCTCGAGTTCGAGCTCGATTGGTGGGCTCGAGATCGACTCATTTAGAATATATCAAGCTCGAGCTCGACTCGAAAGCTCGAACTCATTTGAAAAGCTCGAGCTCATTTGAAAAGCTCGAGCTCAAGATCGAGCTCGTTTGATATTAGAAAAAAATAAACTATCAAATATTCTAAATATATATAGATTTCGTCCTCATTTTGCGAGGACTTTATGATATGATTTCTGGTTTACTATAGGCGCAAACCCCTATAGTTAATTACCCCTCCTGATAACGAGAGAGAACTTTCGATTAAGTCTAGTCATCAATAAAATATGCAGAGATATGTAGTATCTGGCATATAGTAGATGCAATGGGCATTTAAAATTTAAAGGGTTCGATATTTAAAATGAAAATTTCACCATCTTGTACTTAAAGTGGATAGTAGGGGATTGGATGATGGACCGGATCAAGATCCTATGGTTCCGTCATCCTGGGTAATCGTGTTCCCTTGTCTACTTAGTCATAGGAGGTAGTCGACCCAACCTGATAAAAGGATCCTTGTCGGCAGCCATGGGTTGCTTTGTCCAAGGGGACCTTGAAGACCCAGGGTGAGTGTTTATCAAAGGGGGAAAATTTGAATCTACCTTAGCTAATAGAGGGATTTGTGCCCTATCTATCATATCATATTGATTCATATCTCAAGAATTTGATGTCACTAAGGAACATATTGGCTCTATCCATAAACGGTATTTTGTGGTGCTATTTGGCGGTCAAACCACACGGTTCAGAGGGCCCGGGTCATAACTGTTTATCTTATGGTGTCATTTAACGGCAAAACCTCTTGTTAGAGGACACATACTATGTCTTTATTAGCAAGAGATTATTTGAGAATGAATCATAGTGATATTTTTGACTATGCATTAACTCCATGTGAGTTGAAGTAAATTTTAATTTGTCTACCTCAGCAAACTGTTGGGTGGGATGAATGGATTTTATTTTAAGTGTTGATGGATTTATTTCAATTTTAAATATTTTTTTTGAATTTTGGGATTTCTGGTATTTTAGATTTTCAAGAATTTGAGTGGCATTTGAAAGTATTTGAAATTAACCCCTCCGGTTGAGATTCACATTCAACATAGCCATCATCGGGATAACTTTTAGGTCACTTTAAAATATTTAAATTTTGTAGAAGTTTGAGAGCATTTTGAAATATTTGGAATTAACCCCTCTCGTTGAGATCTGCCTTCAACACAACCATCATCGAGGTGATGGGGTCTTTTCTATTTGTAGATTGAACCTTGTCGACTCCGTCAAGTTATCAACAGAGCATGGTTTAAAATTACGCAATATGAGGCTCGCCTTGAGGCCCATCTTTGCATAATTCCAGTAAAAAATGCCTCGATGCTTATGCCTCGAATTTTTTTAAGAGGTTTGCGTCTCAACTTAGTTGAGACCTGCCTTGAGGCCTGCCTCGCCTCACTGGCATGAGACTTACACCTCACGCTATATATATTCAAACTTACATAAATCTTAAAGTAAATGCCTGACATTGGACTCTATAGGAGAGGAGGAAGGGGAGAAAGCAGTTCATCATAATGATGATTCAAATGAAGAACCACTAAGTGATGACAGTGCTGATGACTTATGAGTTCTTATGTGATATGTCATTGCTATTTATTTTTGGAAATTGGAATTTTATGTTAATGAAAAGAATACTGGAAATTTGAAAAGATAGAATTTTGAGTTGAACTATATTTCATGTTGTCTTATTATTGAGATATTTTGATTTCACTTCATATCTTATGATTTTTAATGTTTTATATTATTGACTCATTAGTATATAAAAAATTATCATTTTATGTTTACGCAATCTTTTGATTTTGAGGCTTACGCCTCACCTCACGAATGAAAAATGCCTCAACACCGAAGACGCAATTTTAAACATTGCAACAGAGGATCGGGTTCGTGATCTTTATGTATTTATTAGTGAATTATCATTGATATAGGCCTTAAAGGCGTAATATGAATGTATTAAGACAAATATACCAGTTGTCGCAATTGAATATTTATTTGATGGTTTGAACCCTTTCAATTCCTATTGATCTGCATAGAATGATTGGATTCAAACTTGAATTCACTTATTGACTCGCGCACATCTTTAGATATCACGTGTGTATTTATAACACATTTGTCGGGGCCCATGTGGGTACTTAATTGTATAACCCCTTTTGTGTACCTATGTCTATATAAATTATGTTGCATGTGTGGGAGTATTTTAAGATATTTATAAGCACTTTCTGTCTGCTTCTATTAATATTGCGGATCCGATGGCATAGTATAACAGCTTCTGGATTGAGTTATTTGCTGCTTTATATAGGTAGACTGTTGTACGCTACTTATTTCTTTCTGTAGGTGGATCATAGTACACTAACAAATCTCCTGCTTTCACCAGTAGGTTTTTCTATCTACTGTAATTCCCATGCATTCTTCTTATAGATGGAATGTTAAGTGCATAATGGAGTTCCTACATAAGCTCATAGGCACTTGCATTTGTCGCATTCTTTTCGTGTTTTTCTTTTTGATAATATCCTGGATGTTTATCCATGTTCACCCTTTTATCGGTATTTGTAGCCGGTATATATTCTCCAGTGCAACTCCTTTATTTGTATTAGTGGGAGCTTCTTCATGCTTAACTCATATTGTTTTTGGCCACTTATAGAAGTTTGAGATGTTGTTACACTCATTCTCTCTCTTTCTTTTGTGTGTTGATTGGTGAATCACTACATTTGTATGTCGATCATCATCGCTTGCAAATGATACGTTGTTGCATTCACCAATATTCTCTTTGTGCATATTAGCTAGCAGATTGTCGTGCACCTCCTACACTATTTTTCAGTTCTTATAGGAAGTTGTAGCTTTCATTTGCTAACTAACTAATGTTGGTTGACGATGTGTCATAATACTCACTACATGTCGACTCCCTTCTCCTGCAGAAAATTTGCGCTTTTGCTAAATACCTTATTGGCAAGGATGTCTTTGCGATCACTACGAACTTACTATCATCATTTGCAAGAGCTCAGTGCATTTATATATATATCTAAGTGGTATCATCCGTTTGTAGACTATTACATTTGCTGCACATCACAGAAGATCAATGCATTTTCTTGTATATCAACCTTCATTGTTTGTGGGGAATTATACATTGTCGCTTATTTGAATTTCCTACAAAAGTTCCTTACGCATTCTATTGTCACTAAATTTCTAAGTTCAAGCTCTTTATGCTTGTAGGGTATAGGAATGTATGCTTGCCACGATGGTCACAAGTGATATGGACAATCACTGTAGGCTTTTATGTTCACCATACCCATTATAGAGATGTTATTAGATCTCTAAATTTTTTTTATGAGTGTATCACTTCGCTACTCATGGAGGAATCATTGCATGCACTTGAGAATCTTGCTCTCACTTTACATTTGCATACTGTATGTGAAATCTCACAGTTCAGCTTACAAGTTCAAAACTTGAGTTTCTTATGATCATCAATATTTAGTCAAACTTAAGTTTCATGTGATTTGTGTATTTGTTAAATCAAAGTTTGATTCCATGTTGTCCATGCAAGTCCAAGCCTGAGTTCAAAGTAGACTCAAATAAAATCTTCACTTGAGTCTAAATCGTTCAAATCATGTTCAAATTATGCTTGATTAGTGTACAAATTAGTCTCAAGTTAATGTTCAAATTTGAGTTCACCGTCAACTTAGATTAAATTTACGATCGTGTTCAAGTTCTTTATGATCCTCTGCATTGCTCTTTCAAGCTCAAATCAAGTCCAAATCAAAGTCTTTATTTGATGTTATAGTCTTGTTCAAGTCCCCAGCTGTTCACAATTGATTCAAGCCTTTGTGATCATTTTAAGCTCAACTTTTCTTCGCCGGATTTGATTTAAGCCTTTTGCTTGTTTATTAGAGTTTAGTTCATTTTATTGTCCAAATCACTGTTCAAATAAAGTCCAAGTCCTTTGCATCTTCAGGCAAAATTTCGACAACCTCCGACGTCTCCCTCATTTAGGGAAAAAATCAAGAGGCAGCCTTCCCCTCCACGCTACATGAGCACTTCAGGTAGATGTCAGGGGACATCATCGCTGTACTTTTTTCAATCCCTACTATGCTACATGAGCGCGTATGGGTCTTTGGCATCTGTTGAAAAGAGTATTGATTTCCCCACGTAAGATACTTATTTTTTTTGTCCCCCTTAAGCTACATGAGCGTTCCAGGGATTACCCGCCTCGTCCCAAGCATCGCACTGGCTTCCCTTCCTACTACACTACGTGAGCGCATAAAGGGTTTGCCGGCTCGTCACAAATGTCGAGTGCAAGATTTAAGTTAGACATTTATACATTCGCAAATGGATCAGCGATGAAGTTGGCACATATATCAAGGGAAGATCTTTGCTTTTTTAATTAACTACAATTGATTACATTTAATAATAATAAATTATAATTTAAAAATAATTATTTATAATCACAATGATTAACCACAATCAGTTACAATCAATAATAATTAGTTAAAATTAAATAGCTAATTTTAATTAATTTTTATTTAATTATAGTTAATTATTGATAATAATAATTAACCTTAATTAAAAAAATTAATTACAACTAATTTTAATGAATTATAACTAATTATTATTAATAACATTCAAATATAATTAAAACACTTAATTATAATTAATTTTAATTAATTAATAGTAATAATAATCGACTGTAATTAAAAATAATTAAATTTAATTAATAAAATACAAAGAATTTATGCAGGATTAGTAGGATTTAAGCAGGATTTAACCAACTATTTAATGTCACAGTGAGCTAAATCCAACCTTTCCTTCTCTTCTCTGTTCGGCGGTTTTATGTGATTTGGCGAAAAAAAGCCACGAAAGGATGGTTACCTTTGAAACGAGCGAGCTCGCATTTTACTTCCCATCAAAATGTCGTGACTTCCGAATCTAAAGGGAGGGAAGGTTGTGGAAGGAGGAGGAGAAGGGTTTCGGTACAGGTAGGTAGAAATGGCTTTTATCTCTCTCTCTCTCTCTCTCTCGACCAAAAGGATTAGAATGCTAGGGCGGCAAAGATCAGCTACAGATGAGTGGCAGGAAATGGAGTGAGTTGGGTTCGGCCGTGAGGTGGTTCCGATAGGTTGGGATTTTGGTTTGAGATTCCGATTGTAAGGTGAGGAGGAGGCGTCGGAGGCTTTGGCAGTCGGATATGTCGGGGGATGGGAAGGTGGAGTCGTCTGCAGGATGGAGGTCGGGTCAAGGAAGAGGGGGATACGGGTGGCTACAAGGATTCGGTTCCAGGGGCTAAGTGCGATTGGAGCGAGAGGTTCTGGAGGCAAGTGGATCACTCCGCTTCGGGAGCTTTCGCGAGTGGGGAGGATTCAAAGAAGAAATGTAGTGGGAGTTTGGCCGTGGGAAGTAGCAAACGAGAGAAGGAAGTTTCGCTCTCGTTTTAACGACGCGAGGGGAGGGGAGGTTCGTATCCAAGCATGCGCGAATGGACGTCTTCGGCGCTGTTTGCAGAGGTATGGGGCAATTGTCGCAAGATTTGGGCAGCAGGATTTGCGGCAAAGCTTCTCACGGGTAATCTTTTTTTTTTTGCCTTTTTTTATTTCTTTTGTCTATTCTCCTTTGGTTGTAGAGTGGAGGTCAAAAGAATTATATTATTTCTCCTATGCATAGGAAGATAATCCAAAAGCATATCACTTAATTTACATGGTTGTTTGCTAAATCAAACTGCTTACATGTTGGTGATGCGGTGCAGTCAAACTATAGGAATAAGTGATAACTTACACCTCTTGCACATGCCACTAGCAAGCTATCACTATCAGACTGTTATTCCCACTATGATGCCAGTTTTTATCATTATTAGTACTTATGCACTTTTTTACCATAGGTTTTAGTTTAATTACAATACTACCAGCACTATATGAATGATGTTCTTTTTGGAAAACAACGGAAAAGAAATAGAAACAGAGCTCAATTTTCTACTGTTCCATTGCTTGTTTGCCTTGGCTGCCGGTTTCTTTGCAGGTTCTGTGCTGGAGTCACACCAGTTGGTATTAGAGCCACACCTGGGCCGGTGTTGATGGCAGAATGTAACCGACGAGCTGCTTTTGACAATGATCAAAGCTTAGACGCACTATGGGCGTAGCTAACCATAATTTCCAATCAGCTCACTACTCTGACCTCTAACCGCCAACATTAAACAACTCGCTTTGGAAGTCCTAAGAGACCGTCCAAATCGAGAGGTTGATCCGAACCTGCTGCGAGCACCAGTGGAGCTCCATTTGGGACGGATGAGTGGCGATGCTGAACATATGGGGTGGAGGAACACAGCTGCGGTACCTGATTTTTCCGATTCATAAGATGAGCACACTCAGCAGCGACCAATCACACGGTCCGATTCAAAGGAAGGCGAACTCAGATATCCTTATCAAATCAGACGAGGAAGATATCCGCACCCCCAACCTCATCAAGAGTTTCACTTTAAACTTGATATTCCTTTCTTTGAGGGGCGCTTGCACATTGAAGACTACTTGGATTGGGAACGATCGGTTGAGACTTTTTTTGATTATATGGACATCAGTCCAAGAAACCAAGTGAAGTATGTTGCATGCAGACTTAAGGGAGGAGCGAGCGCGTGGTGGATGCAAGTTATGCAAAACAGGCGGCGAGAGGGAAAAGGAGTCATTCGCAACTGGGCCAAATTGAAACAGATGATGAGATCGCATATCCTCCCGACCGATTATGAGCAGCTCCTTTATGTTAGGTATCAACACTGTACTCAAGGCCATAGAATTGTCAATGAGTACACTGAAGAGTTCTATAAACTCAGTGCACGTAACAAATTATACGAGTCGGAGACTCAACTCATTGTCTGCTATATCAGAGGCTTGAGGGAAGCTATACAGGACAAACTGAAACTCCATTCCGTTTGGACGCTATCACAAGCGGTCAATTTCGCCCTTAAGGCAGAACTTCAGTTGAATCGTCCATCTCGTAGCTCCAATTATCAGAGACATTCATTTGAACAACAGTCAGAATGTGAAGACAAGTCCGGCTCAATCTTCAGCGACGAACACCAGCATCGAAAATGCATTTGATCCTAAGTTACCATCCAAGCCCAAATTGCCCGTCAAAGAAAACCCGTATATGAGTCCTTCTACCTTGAAATGTTTCCGATATTTCCAAATAGGTCACAAATCCAACGAATGTCCTACCCGACCTCAAGTTCAAATTATCGAAGGGGAAGCGAAAGAGAAGGCTGTGGAACAAATGGGAGATATGGATCAAGAAACAGAGGACTTAGTGGCAGATGAGGGGGAACTTGTTTTATGTGTTATGGAGAGCCTATTGTTAGCTCCAAGGATGTCTAACACTTCCCAACGCAATGCAATTTTTCGTACCAGATGCACCATTAACGGCAAGGTTTGCGACCTGCTCATAGATAACAGGTGTACGAAAAACATTGTGTCTCGCTCATTGGTGCATGAACTTCAATTAAAGACAACTAGAAATCCGCATCCCTACAAATTAAGCTGGGTGAAGAAAGGGACTGAGGTGTTAGTAACTGAAATGTGCAGGGTCGTATTCTCCATTGGCAAGAACTACACGTGTGAAATTCTCTGTGATGTCCTCGAGATGGACGTATGCCATGTCATTCTAGGTCGGCCTTGGCAATATGATAATGGGGTTGTCTATGATGGGCGCCTCAACACCTATTCGCTCGACTAGAAAGGAAGGAGGCTGCGATTGTTACCACACCATAACTCAAGTGCCATTCAGTCTAATAAGGATAAAGCAGTATTTCACCTTGTGACGAGTACTGTCCTGTTGGCACAAAGAGCTAAAAATGAGCTTTATGCCATAGTGATGAATCACATTCCAGCACAGGCCGTTGATACCATTCTACCGAACACTATTGTTTCCGTGCTCAAACAATTTGCATATTTACTGCCCACCGAACACCCTTCCGGCTTGCCCAAGGTCCGTAGTATCCAACACCAGATAGATTTGGCTCCGGGAATCAATCTACCAAATCTACCGCATTACAAGATGAGCCCAAAGGAGCACGAGATCCTACAAGAAATGGTTCAAGAGATTTTAGATAAACAACTCATCCAGCCCCTGCTTGAGCCCCTGTGCCATTCCGATGCTACTTGTTCCTAAAAAAGATAACAGATGAAGGATGTGCATAGACAGTTGAGCTATCAATAAAATCACAACCAAATTTTGTTTTCCTATCCCGCGCCTGGAAGAGCTGCAGGACAAGCTGGCGGGTGACAAGTATTTCTCCAAATTGGACCTACGCAACGAGTATCATCAAATTCGAGTCAGGCCTGGCGATGAATGGAAGACCACCTTTAAAACTAGCTCTGGTTTATACGAATGGCGTGTAATGCCATTTGGCCACTGCAATGCCCCGGTGACGTTCATGTGCATGATGAATGAGGTACTCAAACATTATTTTAACAACTTTTGTGTTGTTTATTTCGATGACATCTTAATTTATAGCAAATCCCTGGAAGAACATACACAACACCTCACTTTGATTTTGCAAACTCTCCAAGACAACCAATTATTCCTGAATCCTGGTAAATGTGAATTTGCTTCTACCAAAGTTTATTTTTTGGTATTTATCATTTCGGCTGAGGGCATCAAAACAGATCCGCATAAGGTGGAAGCCGTAATAAATTGGTCGCAGCCACGTTCATTGTTTGATGTTAGAAGCTTTCATGGCCTTGTAAATTTTTATCGTCGCTTTATCCGTGGCTTTAGTATCTTGATGGAACCTCTCACGGACTACTTGAAGGCCAAACACTTTTCATGGGATGACAACAAATAGAGAAGCTGGGACTCCATCAAGCAAGCCCTCACCACGGCACCTGTTCTAGCATTGCCGAACTTTGATGTCCCTTTCAAGTGGATTCAGATGCCTCCGCAATTGGCGTCGGAGTAGTATTATCGCAACTAGACAAGCCCGTGGAATACTTTAGTGAGAAATTAAGTCTAGCTCGACAGTGATGGATCGTTTACGAGCAGGAGTAATATGCCGTAGTCTGAGCTCTCAAGCATTGGGAGCACTACTTGTTGCATAGAGATTTTGTACTCTGCAACGATCATAGAGCCTTACAATTTATCAACACACAGAAAACTATCAATCGTATGCATGTAAGGTGGGTGCCCTTTCTTCAAAAGTTTACTTTTGTTCTAAAGCACAAGTCCTGCAGTCAAAATCGTGTTGCCGACGCACTCAGCCGGCGGACAGCATTGCTCACCCAGCTACAAACAGAAATCACCAGACTCGAATCCCTACATGAGCTTTATCCCACTGACCCCGATTTTGCAAGGATTTGGAAGGCTTGTTCTGAAGGCCAATCTCAATGTGATTACTCTTCGCCATGGATATATGTTCAAAAACAACACACTTTGCATTCCTTCATCATTATGGAGACATCAATTGATACTTGAAGCTCATTATGGGGGCTTGGAAGCAAATCTTAGTCATGATAAGAACTTAAGCCAACTTTATAGTCTTTTTTTTTTTGCCAAAGCTCCATCGCGACGTCTGCCGATTAGTCGAATGATGTTCGGTCTGCCAAGAGTATAAAGGCATTCAGCATAACACGAGGCTATATACACCTCTGCCCATTCATGAGTCTATATGGGAAGATATCAGCATTGATTTCATCTTAGGGCTTCCGCAAACAAAACGGGGTTGCGATTCCATTACGGTTGTGATGGATCATTTTTAAAAAATGGCACATTTTGTCGTCTGAAAAAAAAAAATTTCTTGATGTTGTACACATCGCTCGTTTGTTCTTCCATCAAGTAGTCCGCCTCCATGGACTACCCTGGAGCATCACGTCCGATCGTGACGTAAAGTTTATAAGCCATTTCTGGCGAGAACTATGGAAGCGTCTCCATACAGCTATTAACCTTAGCTTGGCCTATCACCCGTAGTCTGACGGCCAAACTGAGGTTGTCAACCATACTTTGGGCAACATGCTACGCTGCTTAGTCCAAGGCCATCCGAAGCAATGGGAAGATTTCTTGGGGCAGGCGGAGTTCGCTTACAACTCTATGCCTAACCGTTCTACAGGTAAATGCCCTTTTCAAATCGTATATACTAAAAGCCCTAATCATCTCTTTGATATCGTTGTGATGCTCAAGTGTTCGAACAAAACAACAACTCAACTATCGGACCAATACCACGATGTGCTAACGGAAGTTTGCAACAAATTGGTCACTTTCAATGCATATTACAAAGCCGTCACTGATCTTCACCGCCGTCAGCAAGTGTTCCAACCAGGTGATTTAGTCATGGTCCATGTGCGTAAAGAGCGCTTCACCTCTGATACATATTCTAAATTCAGTACCCATAAAATAGGGTTGGTTTCCATTGTTCAACGTATTAACGATAATGCATACATTATCAAATTTCTACCTCATATCCATACTTCTGCAACTTTTAATGTTGCGGATATTGCTTATCATCCACCGAACGACGCCAATATTCATGTGGACGCTGAAATTTTCAGGAGCAGGAGGGAACTGATGAGGTGCAGTCACACTATAAGAATAATGGATAACTTACACCTACATGCCACTAGCAAGCTATCACTATCAAACTGTTAGTCCCATTATGCTGTCAGTTTTTATCATTATTATTACTTATGCTCTTTTACCATAGGTATTTATTTTAATTACAATACTACCAGCACTATATGAACGATGTTCTTTTTGAAAAACATCAGAAAAGAAAAAGAAACATAGCTCAATTTTCTACTGTTCCATTGCTTGTTTGCCTTGGCTGCCGGTTTCTTTGCAAGTTGTGTGCTGGAGTCACACCAGTACCCCTCACAATTCTCTTCATGGAATTTTGATGTTAGAAAAATGAAAATTTTTCTTATTTAAAATAATTAACACATTTAAGGTGAGGGAGATTTAAAACTTCTTTTTGAATTTTTTTATTATTTTATCCATTAAAAGCTCATGTATTAATGCAATTTTATCACATATGACCCAATAAGTTTGACGTCATTATAAGTCTCATGTCATTTCTACTAGTTCAAACTAATGCAAGCTTATATAACTTGTTATGGTGGAAGTCAGCCAATGACAAACCACTCCTTAGAGTGGAAACAAAAGTGATGGCCAAATCATCCCTTATGATAGAAGCTAGAGTAGATGGCGTATCACCCTTTAAAAGGAACCAAAAGTTGACAGACACCCCTTAAAATTGAAGCCAAAAGTTGACAGACACCCCTTCATTAAACTAGAAGCTCAATTAATGAGAGCAGCCTTTGACGATATATTATCCTTACAGGTGAAAGTTGAAGATAAAAATGCATCACCTTTATGGTAGAAACTGAAGTTGATACCATATCACCCCTTAGACTGAGGCCAAAACCAAAATAATTTATTAACCCATGCAATCTTGTCTCAACAGATTATTTTGTCCTTACATAGTGTAAGGAGGTCATAACAAGCTGGGCAGCTGAAATGAACGATAGCAATGTATTAAAAATAGATAATATTAAATATTAAATAGCACTAAAAAAAACATTAAATAGCAATTTTTTAGCCATTCATATTGAATAAAATGCTTATTGTTCCCATGATTGTTAGGACACATTTATCGGTAGTGGAGTTATAGGAAAAGAAACATGTCACAACCAAGCTTTTCATAAATTATTTGAGCTGATCATTTGATGACTAGCACAAAAAACAATTAACATCTATTATAGACTAGAAGTAAAAGCTAAAGCTTTCAGAATCCAATACATAATTATTGATTTAAAAAAATAGAAAGCCGATTAGCCGTATCCATTGAAGCTGAAGTACCCCAGCTTCACTTTAAGGCATTGACTTCGAAATGTAAGTAACCACTATAAGAAAAGTAGCATGATTTGAATGCTAAAATTACAATTGAATTCATATTTTTTTACTTCGCCAACTATCATGCAGTTGTTACAGAAGATAGGGAGCAAAATATTTCAAAACCTCCTCATACACAGGTTTCTTGAAGCCCACTGCCTGTTAATATAACAATAGGCAAGAAGTATTAATTACTTTTTAAACAGAATGAGTGTTAAGATCACTTACTAATTCAATCACTTGTTTTGGAGTCATCCATGACCATTCACCAAACTCTGGTTTCTCAGTTCCATTCCAGCTAAGATTTATCTCCTCCTCCCTCCCAACGAATCTAAAACAAAACCTACATTTTATATCTGCATCCATCAGCAACTAACACATTCCATTGGTTAATCAGTTACAGTTAATATCTCGCTATTTTGATTGGCTAAAATATTTCAGCACAAAAAATATGAAACCGACACCACCACTTAAATCCAAGGCCATCAGATAGCAAAGAAATAAATAAAAATAATAAAGAAAAAAGCTGGTCAATTAGAATTGATGTTCTCTTTAGTTTGAAAAAAATTTAAAACTGATGGTATAAAAAAGGAGATAGCTACTGAATAAAAATATTATAAATTTCACCCAAGTAGTGGTAGAGGTGCTAGCTTTCGTCTTACTTTATTTGGACATTTGTATACAACTCATTCGAGTTTTTTTTTTTTTTCCTTTTTTTTAATGAAAAAGGATGATAGTTTTAAAATATATATGATTTTTATGTGAGAATTTTTTCATAAAAGCACAATATGGAAAGTATATTTTTTCTCAAGAAAATAAATATATTTAAATAAAAAGTAACTATTGATCTATTGATAATAAAATTATTTTAAATTAAAAATTCAAAAAATTTAAGTTGACAATTTAATATAATAAATTATTTAAATTCATTTCTATGAAAAACATGTAAAAAATTGTATTATTAATGCTTTATAAATATTAAATTTTCAATCAAACAATATATAACTAATAAGAAAATTATAATGTTTTGAAATATGTCTACTGTATTAAAGGATTCTTGTCATAATTATTCCACAAGTTTTACACTAAATGTCGGCTACCTAACGTATCCCACTACTTTTATCTTCAAGTACTAGGGATTTGGCAACGACAATATTAAAAATGGTGTATTTTATGGTGCTGAATGTTGACCATTAAAAGAGAACCATAAAATTAAGTTAAGTGTTGCATAGATGATGCTTAATGGATGAGTGGCTTTACTCTTAGAGACAGAATGTGAAATGAGCATACACATGAAAAGGTTGGAGTAGCTCCAATGGCAGATAAGATTAGAGAGAGTCACCTTAGATGGTTTGGTCACATATAACGTTGGTGTTCCGAAGATCCGATTAGGAGAGTAGATGTATTATATTTGACCTATGTTAAGAAAGCTAAACGTAGACTTAAAATGACTTGGTTAGAAAATATTAGAATTGATAATTTTTTATTAGATTTAAATAAGAATTTGACTCTTAACAGGACACAATGTAGAAAAAGGATTCATATAGTCAATCCTGCGTAGTAGAATAAAGGCATGATATTGTTGTTGTCATTGAAATACATCTAATATTTTATTCATCAAGTGTTTAAATTTGAGACAATAAATGATTAATCCCAAGGATGCATAAATCTAGAAAAAAATTGCTTAGAAACATGGGAACAATAAAGTAGACAAGCAGAAAAATGCCAATGAAGTTATTATGTCAATCATCTCCAAGCCCATCAAACCGGCCATCTAACATTCATCTATTTCCATATTAAAATAAATATACAAAAAACATATCATGCATTAGTTCATTTAAACCAAAAAAAATTTGAATTGAATCAAAACAAACAAATTTAATTTATTTGGTTTTGAATTTTGGTTTGGAAGCAAGGTTCTTCGGATTTCAATTATTGGTTTGATTTAAGAAAAAATTTGGTTCGACCAAAAACTGAAATATAATGAATAAATAGCAAATATCATTAAAATATAACTATAAAATCAATACTTTTTTAAATTAAATTTTCTTTGAGCTTAGATTTCAAAATTCGATTGAATCAAAAATCGTAACAAATAAACTAAATCATATTGCGCTTCAGCTTATTGATTCTACTCATAATTTGGTCGGTTCATTTTATTCTTATAATTTATTTCAGCTTAACTTGGTTTAATGAATTTGTCAACCGGTTCATCTGAACTGACTGAATGCACACAACTAATTAGGTCTATTCCAAATTTTTTTTATTAATTTTATTCAATTTAAAAAATAAAAAATCAGATCTATTTTTATTTTTTGGCCCTAAAAAAATTAAATCAAGAAAGATCTTTAATTCGTAAGCAATTTGTAAGATGTCCATTGCTATGTCATTAATCTAAGAGTGAAGGGGATGCTACCCCATTATTGCTACAGCTGCCATGCCATCTTTCGCAGCCCATCAACTATAAGTGCTCTTTAAAATCAACCTTTAGGTAGCCCGACGTTAGTCATCCACTCAAATACCATCAATATGAATTATTTCTATTATGATCCAAGAAGAGAAGATAGCCTCTTTAGCACTGCCCCTCAAGGTGATTTGTACCCATCCAACAACGAAGCTTATCGCTCAATTTTTTAAATATGAATCTAGCCAATCTTTTATTCAGAATTTTGACAATTTGACTTAAGGGGAAATAAATCTCTCTCTTTATTCCAGTTTTGATCTATCTCCACATATTTAGCACGATCATGATGAACAGGATTGTGTGATATAATAACATCTTTACCATCACAATATAATATTATAGGAGTCTCTTGAGTTACCTAAATTTCTTCTAGAGTTGTTTAAGCCAGATTAATTCATTGATACCACTAGCCAAAGTATATAAATTCTAATGCACAACTCCATTTCACCACATTTTAGTTTATGTTTCTCTAAGCTTAAAGGTTCCCCAAGCATATATGCGATATGAAGAATTGAAACTTTCTTTTTTTTGACAATGTGTTCAACACTGTTATGAAGAATTGAAACTTCTATCAAATATAAACCAAGCCCAACCAACATCAATATAAACTTCTGTATTTGTGGATTCTCCTTTTTAAAATTAAAATCCTCTCCTAAGGCTTCCTTTTAAGTAGTTCAGAATTCTAGTTATAGCATTCATGAACTGACTTACCAAACTAACAGAAAAGACTATATCCAAATCGATGAGTTTCACCACCAAGCTTTGATATTTTTTTTATCCATTAGAATATTGGTGTTAACATCATTATCTTATTATCAACTAGAGTGTCAACTAGCTTGCTTCCAATGAAGCAAATTTCTTTTTAAGACATCTATAACATATTATCTTTGAGAGATGATGACATCATATTTATTCCAAGAGATTTCTATAAAGAGAGAAAACCTGAGATACCTAAGTTTTTTTATTTCCAACTCTTCTCTCAATTTTTTCTTTAGGGTAATTATCTCCAAATCTTGATCTCCTATAATGATAATGTCATCACCATATACAATTAATATGGACTTACCATTCTTTTGTTTGTAGAGCACGGTGTGTGTTGACCTTCATATCAAACAAAAGTTTATCTTCCCTCGTTGAATGCTTTTTTTTTTTTTACTATTGTCTTGTTTATTAAAGTATTAATAACTACTGCTTGCAAAACACATATATATAATACAATAACAGTACATAATTACAAAGTTTGTAGCATATCTCCAGCATTCGAAATATATGATCTTAAGAGCAAGATATGGAAGAAGAGAGATGTTTGGGATAATGAATTCTTTTTCAAGATAGAAGGATACAATGAATTCTTTTTCAACGCATATGCAGGTGATTTTTCCGAAAGTTTGGGACACAACCTTCTCCAACATACAAAGTTTTTAAAGGTCAGAAAAGAAACTTTTGTGACTACACACTCCAACAAGTTTAAGCAGAATAGCTTGAAGTCTTTCAACAGCATGAAGTTTAAGGTCCGAATGGGTATAAGAGGACGGATTCAACAAGCCCAAATATGACCAAATCGTTGGCTGCTCTGTCTACTCAACATGCCACAAAAAGGTCATAGTAACGGAACCCTCACTTCGTCAACCCGTTAGTATGGACTTTAAGAAGCACGAAGGGTAACTCGACTCAACAAGTTCAAATAGTCGTAGACCATAAGATTCTTCTAATTAACTAGAGAATCAAAAGTTCAAGTGGAAAGGAGTCACGAGAAACTACCGGATGTGCGTAGGCTACAAATCTTCAACCACAAAGGATGATCGCAAATCTATCAACTTCAGTAAAATCAACATTGGGATGCGCATTTCCCATAACTCAAGTATGAAGTTTGAATGAGTGTAAAAGGCCGGATCTAACACGCCCAAATACTACCGGATCGCCGGTAGCACCATCTACTAAACACGCCATAAGAAAGGCTGCACTAGAGGAACTCTCATTTTAGCAACCAGAGGATGAAAAACTGTCAAATCTAAGCTCACATAATCCGAAGAACTCAAGTGACTCGGATTGAGTCTCCTCAACTTGTTAAGGATTAAGATACTATCTATATTTGGTATTATCCACTAAATCTGAAACCTGCAAATCCTTCAACAAATCCACAAAGCATCAAACGCGGATCAAAGAAATTTTTCCTCAATAAGTTCGCAAAAGTATAAAGCAAAGGATCGAAGAAAAAATCCCAAAGTTTATATAAGAGAATTTCATCATCAACAAGTCTGTTATGCACAAAGCTCTAGATGATGATGACTCACCACCGATCTGATATAAACCTAAAAGATTATAGTTCATTGGCATTTACTCCTTCATCAAGTCCACCAAAGCAATAAGCATAGAGCTAAAGTGTTGACCTGCACTGGGTAGTGTCTTATCTACAAACCCATCTGCCTTCCAAAATTTACCTCGGAACTTAGTTCGTTAAAACTCCCTCGTCAAATAAGAAGAAAGAGCGAGCGGAGGCCGGGGCCGAATTTTCGGAGCCCACATAAAGGTACACAAATCTTCTGATAAGTCGGTAGTGGCAAATCAGATAATCATTCACCTATGTCCGCAGCACTAAGCATAGAGCAGAAGGAACCAAAATCTTAAGACCCAAGCTAAAGCTACGAAAAGAAGCATCCTAAATGACATCTACAAATGTCCCTAAAGATTGGGAGCATTTTAAATATGTATTTGGGTCAACATCACATCGCATGCCAAGATCCCAATAAATATTTAAAATTTCTTACCAAAATGCAGCTAAAGGAGGGAAAATGAAATATCATTAGTAAACTGAATGTACCATCAACAAAAAGTATAATTTGAGCAAGATAGAATCAGTACAAGAGACAACAAAGTCCCAACAGCTGATGA